AGCCAACCTCGAAACTGCTGAAAATGAGCAAGGCGCTGCTGGATTCGCTGTTCTCGTGTCAGAGTGGCTTCAGCAGGAACATGGACTGTTCGTACAACTGGTGGCGGCGGATGCTCGACATGGAGGGCAACTTGAGTGCGAGGTCGTCCTTGAACATGACTGTGGGCCAAAATTAAGACAAAGTTCTTTCGAAGCCGAAAAGCGAGCTCACCAACACCCTGATCGATGGATTCTTCTTGCCAATCTTCGCGGGAACTATGCATCACCTCGTTCACCAAGTTGTTGACAGCTGGTGGCAGGGGAAGCTGATCAGAGAGGTCCGCAATGGTCTGATGGTGACCACCCCAGGAGTACCAACGCATCATCAGATGCCATCCGCACAGATGGGGTCGATAGTACTCTGGCAACATGTGGATCTGGATGCGATGCGGTGCAATGTCCAAAAATCTTGCAAGGATCGAAATGAGGCGCTCCCGAAAGTCAGCATGAATCTGGATGAAGGTGATGGACGTTTGGTCACCCCTTTTTGTGATCTCTGCCGCCCCCCAATGGGACCTGACCAGAATGGGCAGAACTGTAGTCGAATTGTTGTAGAAGTTCGGCTCCCCGTGGCCCGCTTCATCGAAATCCTGCTTGGCAATGTCCCAAAGAACAGGGGGAGAAAACTTCATGTCAGAGCCAGACCACATCAGAGCTTGAGTGTAATAGAACATTTCATCCGAAGCCATCCAGCCATGAGTATTGACCATAAATTCCATCCGTGCATCAAATGATGAGCCAGCATCGAGCGATGGAGAAGGTCCAACATTGTTGTGATGGCCCCCTGCAAGAATCCTCCGAGAGGCTGCAAAGACAACAACATCCCCATGCCTCAACAGATTGCATGTGTCATTGAGGTCCCCATTGTGTGTCTGGACGACAGAAACGTGACCATCCAGAAGGAATTCCTGTTGCGTGGTAGTCGAGGCTGGTACAGCAATAACTCTGCAAGAGCCGTGGATGTCATCACAATTGTAGGCAAGGATCGAGAGAAATCCAGCTGGAGGATCGCGATCAATGAGTGCCAACAAGCAACCACGCCCATGGGAAACGGAAACAACTTGCGATTGATGTAGCTTGCCAAGTTGCTCGGCACATTTGCCACCATCCTTATCCGTACAGCAGATTGAAATTGGCCCAGCTTTCGACATGTCAACAATGGTCACCTGACATCTTCTTGGGGTGGCGTCATCTTGCAGTGTTTCGATGACAGGCTGAACCACCCTGAAGAAGGTGCTCTGCAGAACATCTTCGAAAGATAGATGAGCATGATCATCAATCACAAAGTTGTGCTCCGGATCGAAAGGCTGCGTATCTGGAATACTGATGACCTCAGTGGCACAGGGCAATGCTTCCACCGGCATGAGATGGCAAGTGCCTACCTTACAGTATCCAACATAAAGGTCCCATTCAGCTGCTGCAGCAGCAAGGGCCTGGATTGACCAGCGGCTACTGGCTTTGACCTCATGGTTGATGAGAGCAATCTGACGAATCAGCTCAACAGGGCCTTCGAGGCAATGCGAAAGGATGTGAAGTCCAGAACAAACCGACGGGATGCGTGCATCGAAGTGGACGTCAGGGAAAGACCCACTACACCTAATGTGAGGTCCTGTTGGGGACGCTGCAACAGCTTTGCCTGAAATCCACAAGTGCATGGAGTCCCTGGGCACAAAATGCACGAAGTCTCCCTGCTCGAACACAACAGTGTTATAGGCAGTGAGCCTTGAAGCCCACACCTGTCTGACGAGTTGCAGTGGATCAATGGCTTCACCTGTGATCGAGAGAAATGCGATGGACAAGGCAAGGACGCTGTGAGGAACCGTGATTGCGTTTCCCAAGACTTGGAAGGTGGCTTGAACCTTGGATGGGAAAACCAAACTCTCAGTTGCCCCAAACATAGACACAAACAGGCCCGGTGGGAAGAAAGCAAACCCACATTCCGTATGCTGCAGTACGGCAAAAATCCCTTTGGATCGGAGATGATCCTCGCTGAGGAAATGTTGCCTAGAGTACGAAGCACATAAAGTCGGCATTGGATCTGATGAGTCTGGGACTCGGGACCAGAGGCCGTGAGCCTGCCTGTCCTGACCCTTGTGGGCTTTGTGTCGTTTGGCAGCGGGCAGGAAATCCTCGCTATCATAGAAGCTGCACTCTGAATCACTGAGTTTCAACTGGTGCTTCCAAACCGGTGGAATTGGAAATTCATGTGCTTGTGAATCCCATGAGGCCTTGGGGACCAATGTTGGGTGAACTGGGAAGTCGAAAGCTTTGGCAGGGCAATCAGAGCGGATCCAAATGCCGAGCCATCTGGTGCGCATGTGATTGACCAGAAAATGGTATGGTGTGGCTTGCGACCAAATCAACTTAAAACCCAACAAACTTGCATACGCCTGTACAATAGGCCAGTGAGCATGCCTGATCAGCTCATCAGAGCATTCAGCGACCAACACATTTGGTTGGCCACAAGCAGCAACTCCTAAGGCTTCCAAAAATGAAAACTCATTCGGGTCGGCAAGGCCGGTCTGGCGGCCTCCACGACTCCAGGATTGACATGGCGGCGACATTGTCTGGACAAGATTGAATTGAGCTCGAAGCAAATTGAGTATCGACGGCTCCTGAATCGGGCTGCACACTCCCACACATTCAGCTGGGTTCCACGGCACATTGTGTGCAATAGGAGGGGTCAATGCATTGACATTGTGCTTCAGTGACCAAAGCTTCATCACTGTCTCATCTGAGTCAATGGCAATCTCCTGCCCCTTCAACAAGAAGGGTTGGGTTGAGCTCAACCAGCGAAGGGCTTGGCTCCACCCTGAAAAGGAACCTGAGTAGAGATGCAAAGCCGTCCAAGCCATCTCAGCCACAAATTCAGGCCTGAAAGCAAGCGTAGCCTGCTCCAACCAAAACTCATGAGAGCCCTTCTGGTGCTTGAGAATCCCTGAACATAGGATTTGTACATCCTTGGCCAAGTGAATGGACCTTCCTGTGGGGTCAAAAATATGGAGGATCATCTTGTTCGGACCAGAGCTATCACCAGCAAATCCACCACCTGGAGTGAATTGAAGGGCGTCCAGCTCCAACCAATGCTCCCCAACTTCAACCACATTTCCAGCACAAAAGTGCCTGCCAGCAATCGACGGGAGGAAGGAAGGCACCGACACTCCCGAAAACAGGCTCTTCACACGTGACCGCAGAGGGTCCTGTAGAACTTGGTCCGCAAGGGACAGAGCTTTCCGCACATCCATGGCTCACGAACCTAAGAGAATCAAGTCGAGACACAAATGTCACACCTACCAAGGCTGGCAAGCAGGAGAGCTCACCAAATAGACGTGCCCTCAGACCGTTGTGGTCTGCGAGGCACCCCCGGGCGCCGTGACCCCGAGCCGTCGGGCCTTTGAGCCCCGTGGCTCATAACAGCCAATACATCATCACCTCATCCATTCCATACCCAAAACAAAACAACTTACCAAGCAACAAACAAAAAACAAACCAAACAAAGAACAACATTTAAAAAAAAAAAACACAAAACAACAATAGACTGCAATATAGCATAACCCCTCACCTTTAACAATCCAATCTTCAAATCCATAATTCTAATAGATGCTTTTAGAAATATGTTAGTAGTAAATGTCTTCAATAACTGTTAACTTAAAATGAAAGGCGTGTATTCCATTATATTATACTATCTTTATCTTGGTCTCCTTCAATAGCGGTGTTTATTTCGTCAACTGCTGTAATACGTCATCTACATTATCTTCATCTATATATGCATATTCATCAAAGTCATTCATAAAGTAAATCTCTCTATAGCTACATCCATTTTTCCATATTCCTTTTCTGGGAGTTTTGCCACCAATTGAACTTCAATATCAAGTTTAACTCTATAATTTAAATCATCTACTTCTTCATAAATCAAAAATAGTAATCATACTTGTTTTTCTGTTATTATGTCTTCTATACTTTTCAAACTAAATGACACTCCCTCTCTCATAATACAGTATTCAATTTTATATATCGTTTTTTCTTGATTTCAAACGTCTTGTCGTTTAAGAACCAAGTCTTGAAATCGTTTATTTGTTTTGTATTCTCTTCAATGATTCACTATGTTTTATTTTCACATATTCAGGTTTTCCATGAGTATATGATACAACATTACTCAACACATTTACTGGCAAATCCTTCATACAATCCATCCACTAATATACTTAACTGACTAATTGTTAAGTAAATATCCCAAGATTAATATAAAGCATTCTTTCAAAAAAGACTACTTAAAGATACATTAAGTAAATAAAATATATAATAGTATATTATGAAAACAAGTTATAAACTATCTGTTGAGTGATGATTTAGCCGAAATACCAAAAAGAGGAAGAAATAATTAAAGTCCATAATCATAGATGACAAGAAATTCAGATACAACAAATACAAACCCATATCAAATGTTTTAACAAAGAAGTTATTATCAGTAAAGAAAACTAATGAATACAGAAGTTATGCTTTAAACAAGGCAAAGGGTGCTTTCAATGAAGGAAGAGTAAGACAAATACTGACAAAACACACAATCAGACAGAAACAAATTTAGGGTCAGAGCTGTTCAATCAGCATGAATGAATGAGGTAATAGATGGTTAGTAGTGATGATTTTGTGGAATGAATGAGATAGTTATGTATCCACTGTAATGATTTTGAAAAATGAATGAGGTACCAGATGGTTAGTAGTTATGATTTGAAAAATGAATGAGGTTATATGTGGTAGTCTGCTGTGTTTTTTTGGTGAATAATTTTTTGAGTTTTTATACTGCTAAAATCTGAGTTTAGAAAACTTCTTTGAAGTAACGTTTTTAACATGTTTGGGGGGAGGCATGGTGAGGAACTCGTGGTGTCACGGCGGCACGCCGCGCGCCGTGCACGACGAGGGAGTCGATCCCGGTCCCCCGGTCCCCGGTCCCGAGCGTTCGCCTGGCGACTTCGGTCTGCATGCGGAAGTCGCTGAAGAGGCGAGCACCTGATATAAGGCGGACGGCGAGGTCCCGGCGGGTGCTGGGCGTTTTTGGGCCGACGAACGACGGAAGGCGCGCTGCTTTTGGGAGAAGGCGCGTGGTTTTGGGGCGAGGAGCCCGGCGAAGAGCTGAAGTGTGGGGGAGACTTCGGAACCATTGGAATTTGAGTCTCGGATCTCGAACTCAAATTGTTGTACTGAGGGTTTTAGACTACAACACCAGGTCTAGACTTGCTGGATTCAATGGTTGAAGTATAGGGTGGTGGCCACGGAAGACACGGAAGACTACCGAACAAGTGTAAAAGCTGATTGGACTTCTGAGAGCCATGTTGCAGACTTTGTGTGGGGTAGTCGGAGGGGTAAAGGTGTTGTATGTAATATAGCAAACGCGTGTCAAAACAGCTATTGCATGTTATAGCATTAGGGAAATGTATCCTTCTTCATGTATTGCTGTAGTTGCTACCTTCCAAACCACCTCTAAGTTTACCGGTGATTGAAAACGGCCTTTCACAGCCTACCAGACACCATGACGGTGCTGCCAAGTTTAAAGACAACAGCGCCATGACTTCAAACAGCCTCCTCCCAGCTTATGAACTCCCTCTCACCCGGCGAGAAAAGGGATCAGAGTCAAGCTACAGCCCACATTCCCAGGAACTGGCATTTGCGGCTGCAAAGCCCTGAAGAGTCCCAAGGGGGACGAAAGCTAGGAATTTAATACCTTGATGCAGTCGCAGAAAAGCTGCGTTGGGCTCCTCTTGGCTCCTCTAGCGACTCTACCGAGATTCACACCCGCCCAGCCCCGCCCCCGGGTGCTTTGTCTTAAATCACCAGCTCAATCCATATATATATAACACGTACTCCATATACTCTTCTACCAGGACCCGATTTCAGAGGTCACCACCTGCGACTTTCAAGTCTACAAAAGCCAGAAGGAAGACCTGTTGGAAGGTGGATGAAGGTGGTATGGAATGACATGGAGCTCACCCCGGTATAAACCACTCCAACTCACGCACGGTATAGCAAGACGCACGGGGTATAGCACCGTGTCTGGGACTGATCTTCGGCTGCCTATAACGCCTGTGGAGTCGTCCGAATACCAGTTGGAAGGAGGAGTCATGCTGATGCGCTGATGAAGAAGAACAAGAAGAAGAATACCAGTCGTCAAATGGTTTTACCTCTCGGATCTGGGCTTATTTCTTCAACCGTCCACATGTTCAAAAGAATTCTGGGTCAGAGTCATGCACCAGAATTTCTTGCATATCTTCCAACCAACCCGTTCTTCCTCCAATCCACGGAAAACACTTCCGCCTTCCTCTTCCGTCACGCGGCACGCACGCGCGGGCGCGCGCATTGATCTCGCCCAGATGCTGATCCGAGTGGGGCCTCCTTGACCTAGACCCACTTCACCCAGAAAGATCTCCTGCAGAACGAACTCGGTCTGGCATATATAGACCCCCAATAGATAGAACAGTATATAACATCCCTTTCAAAATGTATTGGACACCGTGCCACTATCTATCTATTTGGGGGCCACGGTCATGAGCCGGTCCATTCCGGGAAGGAGGGACCGTGGTCGTCGTCTCCACTTCATAGCGCAGGGACCTGATGGGACCAGAAGGGACCGTCATGGCAAGGGAGAGTGATGGCAAGTGGTGTCGCCTAAGCTGACTGTGATCCGTCATGTTCTTCTTGCCTAAGCTGACTCCGTCAGTTTCCCTGGCAAAGAAAAAGCACCCTAACCCTCTTGGTATTATATACCTGTTCGACCATTGAGCGGGGTTTCCCACTCCCCAATAGAAAGCTGGGGCAGGTGATCCACGTAGCTGGGGGAGGTGATCCACGTACTTCCTAATTGTGTAAGGTCACAAGCTGGTGATCGTCGCAAGCCCCAGTGATGCCGAACCTGTGATGCCGCTCTGATGTGCTCGTCTCCCAGTCCAGTCCCAAAAACTGAACCGTATCCCTAGACTTCCGTTCGACCATTAAAAAATGGTTGACCTGGTGTTTGTAGTGTAGAACCCTTAGTTGGTTCGGGATTCAGCCTATTAAATTAATGGTGGGCCAGGAAGTCTAGGGGTATGGGTTCAGAACGACATCTGCGGGATCTTCGGGGAGCATGCGAATCCGTTTTTCCACACTCCGCCTTTCCACATGGAAAATGCTCCCCAAGTTTGGGGAGTTTCATCACTCCATGGACCGTGAGTCGGAGTGATGGTGAAATTCCAGCGAATGAGCCACGAAGGCTGCGGCAGAGGGTCGAATCCCCAACGAAGTAACATCGAGATACATCGAGTGCAACGAAGACGGTGAACATATCCCTAGGCCCGTTCGGCTGCCAGTCGCACCTTCGTTTTCGTTTCGGTGGGACTGGGGACCCGGGTGCCAGGAGGATCCAGTCATACCGAACCTGAGGAGGTACGACTGGAGGTGTAGGGTATGTGATTTCACAACAACATTTCGAGAATATGTGAAGTGAACATGGCCTCCTTCAACGCCACCTTTTCCAGCAGTTTTGACCTCCGACACGCCCACAAAAGCTCAAAAATGCATCACGTCCATGTTCGAGGGCACCTAGAATCAAAGAACCGTATGTGATGCTGCAGTGATGATGCTTCAAGTTCTTTCCAGGTGCCAGCTGAAGAAGCACCCGATTGAAGTGACATCCGGTGGTAGTTCTCAAGATGGAACTAGCATGTTGGCTCTTCTTCATCAGCATTCATCAGCTAAACATGTTGTCCTATGTTGTCCTCTTGCCCGAAGCACGTAACTAAGCACGTACCCTCCCTGCAACAATCATGGAAGTGGAAAAACCACCATGTTTGTAGCGAAAAAAAAAAGGTATTGAAGGGACCATGTTCCACGTCCATGATCTTTTTCGGGGAGTGTACCTCCAGAAAAACATCACCCGACCGACCTCTCCTGCAAGACACCCGGCCGGAAGTCACCATTCACCAGGACCACTCGGGAGCCCTCGCAGAACGCCGGGCGAACGGTGAGGCACCGCGACGGACGGACGCTGCAGTGGCATCGAAGAAGACTTCGGGCACCGGCGGAGATAGGAAAGATTATGCAAATTTCCCCCCCCAAAAAAAAGAATCTCTTCTATTCTCTTCTGCATGATGGATCATGATATAGGGCTACAAGGGCCGTGATAGATCATTAGTGGGTCTGCGGCCCCTTTTCCCCATAGCTACGGTTGCAACAAACGACCCCAAAACCGCCCCAACCGGCGGTTTTGGGCACCCCCTGTCTGCAACTTCGATCAACCGATCAGGCCAGGGGTGGTGCCAGGGGGTCTGTCTGGGGCGGCAGTCCGTCCTGGCAGTCCCATTAGTCCTGTCTGGGATAGATGCACTCATTGTACCCCACTCTGGGAGGGTCCATCCATCCACCACGACGGTCTCCCGACCTGGTCGTCCTTTTGGACCCTGGCCGACCGCTGTCCGCACGGCACCTGACTGCTGATCTCCTTGATGTAGGGCGCCGCGGGCCTGGCGCGGTTCGCCGGAGTCACGACTCGGGCCAGGTTGAACCATGAGGCTCCCAGACACGACTGGAACCGGGCATCGAACGTACCGAGGACGGAAACCATGATGGGTGGGCTCTGGAGGGTCTGGTATGGGCTAATTGAAAAAGGCACAAAGCAAAAAACTGAAGCACTGAGACTGAATGTCAGGATTCTGACACTTCTGAAAAAAACTGCTGAAGCACTGGCCATTCTGCGTTGAAAAAAGCATTGTCTGCGCGTCGAAGAAAAGGGAAACCTACGTCGTGACTTCGCGACCGCCTCGGCAAGAAAAAAGGAACGGCGCCTGACACGAGAGAAGTCAAAACCCAACGGCTCATGGATGATGATCTCCAAGGTATTGCCCCAAACACTTGGAGTAAAGGTCACCTCGCGGCACTGCGACGGGCCGAGGGTGCACAGGTGAACGCTGCGCGCGCGAGAGAGAGCCTGGGATCTCTGACCAAGGCGCACCGCACGAACTCCGAGTGGGACGTCCCCCAATCCCACCCCAAAAGGGTTGATACTATAGGATCATCTATAGGTACAGATGACTCGGGCCCCTCGTATCACTGTATACAAATGACTCAGCGTCTCACTGTCATCTGAACCTAGTTTAACTGGTTGAAGATTATGATGACCACCCTTTTTCTGGGCAGCGGACGCTTTTTCTTCAGCGGGTCCGCTCTCTTTCTTCAGCTTCGTTTGGCGGCGCTGAGTGATGGCTGGCATGGCACCAAGGGATTCCCCCGGTGGGGACCCCACCGAATCGACGACCTCCAGGTGCCATGACGCTGATGGAAACAGGTCGCACTCCAGCGAGCCGAGTTTCCGCATGACGCGCACCAAACTGCCACTCAAATCAAGCAGGGAACGACGTTGGAGAAGTTGTCCCACCAACCTAGGACCTCCCCGCAGAACATCGATGAAGACCACCTCTAGGACCCTACAAAGAAGCTGATGGGAGCTTGGTGGTGATTCTTTAGATAGCTGCAAATGCTTGGAAATGCCCCAGCCTCAAATACTTCAAACCAGTTCCGGAGAGGGATCTCGTCCAGAATTTCGTGCTCAGGACTGTCACTGGGCCCGCACAGGGTGATCATCACAAGTATAAAAATGGGCGTCTCAAAATGCCTGCCCCCCCCTCCAGGCCATGGTGGGTTGTCTTCGAGGTGGCCTTCTTTGCCTCCCCCCCCCATCTTCCGGCCTGTAAATCGCTTTCAGAGTTGGCACGTTGCCTCGAGGCATCGCTTAGCGAGGCTTCACACAAGTTCAAAACTGACTTCCTCAGTTGACCATCGAACCTTTTCCATCGAACCCAATGTCAGTGGGGAAACCAATCCCAAAAATGGTTCTCCAGGTTCATGGTTCTCCACTTTTCCTGAGTAGGAAAAGATGGCAGCTCGCATGAAGGATTCGGTCTTCGTGCGTAAGTGGGTGGGGGTGCGACACCCTTCCCACCGAGCTCTTTGGGCAACTGGGACGGGTAGATCAAACGTCACCTCACCCTCACCGGCGACCAAACCGGCGTCTCTGGACGCGCACTCTGCGGGCAGGCGCCTGTGGCCTGCGATCCAAACCGTGAAGTTCGCCAGTTCTCCATAGATCGGCCAGCTTTCGGCGAAGGCGGAGGACAAGGGCCTGGACGCGTTTGGCCGCTAGCTGAAAACATGGAGAATAGAAAGGCCGCAGCTCTGAAGCCAGACTTGTTTGCTGGGTAAGTCACTTTCTGTACAGTGGTTTCGGAGTAGATGGCACATTTCCCCCAAGATGTCCTGAACAAATGGGAGTCCTTCTAAACCACCGAACATGGAGGCCCTTGTGCTATCAAGCCTCTGACATCGTGTCTAGGAGAGAAAAGGGTCTGACGATGTTGGGGTGCTTGCTCTGACGATTGGGTCCAGACCGTTTTCCGGACCGTCCTTGACTTCCCAAGGACGAAGGGTCCCAGACAACGCCTTCCCTTTTGAGTGCGACCGTCCAGTTGGAGGACCTGAGGACCCATTTTTTTCAACCGGGCGCCGTGTCGTCGTGAGGGCGTGTCGACGCTGGTGTTTGAGGGGCAGGGGCCAAGTGAGGCGCCTTGGAAGACCACTGATTCCTCTACAAGCAGGGGGTGTTCCACTTCCATCGGTCGTTCCGGGATCTCCCTCTCTCTCTCTCTCTCCATCGGTAGTTCTGGGATGTGCATCTGTAGTTGAGCAGAAGTGTCACAGACGGTGTACCCATGACTAGCCGAAGAAGCAGTGGAAGACCTGGTTTGGTCCCCGGCTCTTTTGATACAATATAGAAAAGGTGTCAGGTACGTTAGCCAGACCAGAGGTGCAGTGTGGATCTTCCACCAACTTAAACCGGCCCAAAGCCAAGCATGTCAGTGAAATCGGGTCTCAGCTATTGCCTAGCCTATATTGCTACACAACATGAGTATATACGCTGGGATAGCCAGCAACAAACCAAGACAAATAACATCTACCGATACTGCCACTCACTATTAACTTGGAACCGGTGGACTCAAAATGCAGGCTCCCATGGGCAAGCTGGGGCATCTTCAGAACACATCAAACAACATCAAACGACCGATCTGATCGCTCGTCTCGGAGCCAAATTTGCACTGTGTTCGTCTCGGTCTGATTCGCGAATGGTTCGACCTCAGGCCGCAGGCCCCAGACTGTTGTACCTGACACATCCCTCACCTTCACATCTGTACCCACCCTTGTTTTTTCTTCACACCCCCAGACCTCAAGCTACCCGTGGCTCCACACGCCCCCCACCCTCCCATCTTTCCACGCCTTCCCCTCAACCTCAACCACCCTCGGCGCCTCCGGTCCGGCGCGGCGGACCAATGGGTCATCTTCCAGAAGTTCCTGGACACCACGAGGCCGGCCCCGGTCGCCCGGTGGGTCGGGGTGAGGGGTGAGGGGTGAGGGGTGAGATGGGGTGAGAGGAAGACATCCGGCTATAACATGCACCGGTGGGGGTGGAGTTCTGCAGGGAACAACAGCAATACACGCCCTTCCTGCCACCTCCTAGCACTACAGACATCTGAAGACTGGTGAAGAGTGAAGGGAATGATGCAATAGGTTTGAAACCAGGCATCACTCCCAAGGCAACCCAGCCAGTCTTTACTATCTTATTGATATGGGGTGGTCATAAGACCTTATCCTGCACAAAAGAGATGATGGTGCTTTTTATTCCATCAACCCTTTCGCCCAGGAAAAAAAACACGCGAACCACCACGCGCGAACGACGCAGCCCTCGACCAACGAAGTGAAGGAAAACAGCAAGGAAAACACATTGAACATCAACAACAAATCATAAGAAGCAACACAAAAAGAAACAGAACACCCCTTTTTTACCATTTTTTGGGGGCATACGAAAGCGCAAATCATCAGGTTGAATCATATCATTCTAGTCTAGACAAACTACAAAAAGAACCAGGCTGTCTGCCTTCTGGCCAACGCTTGATCCAACAAAATAATGACCAAAAGATCCGCGCCCCACGTCCTTTTGGGAATGCTGAGTTCAGGTAGGCTCTTAGATCAAGAGGAAGCCACCCAGAGTCGACAAGAACGGGGGTTTTGGCTCACTAAGAGTCGAACCAAACAAGACAAGTACCCTATACCCCAAAAACCATAACCATATGTTTCCTGTGCCCATTGGTTGTATCCCCCCCAACTACCACGTCTTGATCAACCAACCAAAGGAGTCGCCACCCTGTCGGCCCCAAAAACGCACCGCACCGCACCGAACGCACCACTCCTGATCGCTGCGCGGGGAATTCGCGGATTCACCACCGAGACCCGAAAGCCTCGGGGCGGAGCGGCCAATGTGCTGAGATGCCCGGGCTTCGATACGCATGCGCATGCGCATTGCCTATACGCATACATGCATCAGCCTGTGGTCCAAACCCAGGATACGACCTGTCTGGGACTGCCAGGACGGACTGCCGCCCCATGGACCCCCCTGGCACCACCCCTGGCCTAATCGGTATATATCGCAGTTCCATTGGTCATTAGTCATGTCTGGGAAAGGTGGCAGAACTCCGCTGTTCCTCCTCCTATCCCGAACTGAGCGCCCCAGGTTCTTCCTCACCGGTCGTGTGTGGCCTCGTATCCGATGGTCTCACCGTCCGACCCGGTCCGACGCCCAGGTCTTAGAAAAACCCCTTCAATCCCCTAGCCCTCCAGTCGTGCCTTCGTTTCGAAGGTGAGACTGGGGTGGGTGCAGGGTCTAGTCATACCCAACCTGAGGAGGTACGACTGGAGCCCTATGGATCGATGCGTGCACAAACTTGAGGGCTGCATGACCCCTGGGGGTCATAGGGCTAGGGCAAGTGAACGAACAAAGACGAGCCCAGCTAGACAAATTAGGCCATCCCACTTGTGCCTGCTCACACACGCCCGCGCATGTTACACCTTACACCTACCTGGCCCGTCGTTTCCTTTCCAAAGCGAGGCACTTAAGGGATCGCCCTCTTCCAGCACTGGCTTTCCATCCACTGGGACGTGCGACACATTCATCTCAGCTCGTGCGGAACGCACGAGGGCACGGTACTGCATTCCTCAATCACCACCGATGGGACTGGAATAGAGTGGAATACAGGTTACAAATGGCACAAACCATCACAATCCCCAAATGGTGGTCTATAAGGAACCCCATACAAAACACATCTGTGGGCTTGTGCCATCTACTCAGTGAAACCAGTGTAGATACATTGCCCCCCGGGTCAACCACCCCAATGACTTGTCTGGGTTCAGCTTCCGACCTGCGACCAGAATTCTTCGGCAAAACGCACGAAACCATCCCCAACACAGGCACCAGGCATCACGTTTGGCAACAAAGAAAAGGCAACAAATACACGGGGCCTGGACTGCAACCCCGTGTTTTGACACTGCTTCAAGCAGTGTCAAGCAGCCAACCACCTCAACCTCTCTTGGATCATTCCGTGGCCCCCGCCCAGCAGCGGGCCCCCCGCTGCTGGTGGACCAACAGGACAAGCCAGTGTGGTCCTCCCATGGGTGCGGTCCGAATGAGGGTTGCACTCCCTGAATCGATCCCATGGAACCTGAGATGGTTCACCCTTGTGCTTAGACTATGGTCCGAATAATACCAACCCGACGTGGTTTTGAGATGTTTTGAGGTTCCATGTGGTCCTCTGCAGGGGAGCACACTCCCCGGAACAATCATGGAAGTGGAAAACCGCTGTAGAGGAGGCCTTTCCAGCAACAAATGCCATCCACTTCCATGATTGTTCCAGGGTTCGTTCACACGACCGGCTCAGCTCACACTGGCACCACGAAAACGCACAGCAGGGCTTCTTCACGGCTCCACCTGTTCAGCTTTCAAGAATCGTGTCGATAGTGCATCATCTGAATCATCCGTGTTTTACTTCACCCATGAGGGGAAAAATGGTAGGCCAGTAGCATGGACCAAAGGTATCCAAAGGTCCATAGTTAGTCCATACAATCTGCGAACTCATTGTCTGAGATGTTCATGCTCCTTTTCAGCCAGTGTCCGAGTAGAAAGCACACCTTCCCCCACATCGAAACTCGAGTCTAAACACGTTTCGCGCTCCCTCACGACATCTCACCCAAGCGGCCAGCAAGGAGCAAGCAACCTCGGAGCTGGAACGGTCGCAGTGGCAAAGAGCTTCAGCATCCACCCGTAGGGGGCGATAGGTGCCCAGCCACCTGCCACGGGCTGGCAAGCACGGGCTAGATGATGATGGTCGTTCTGCCATGTTCTGATGATGGTCGGGCTGCCATGGCTGGAACGCGGCTGCGGACTTCCATGTTCCCTTAAAGAAATCGAGAAGTCCGCAGCCCGCGGACCTAGAGAGACAAGGAAAAATACGCCTATAGCTTCTCTTTTGCTGCGGCACGATCACGTGTGCATGTGTACGGCACGATGGGCGGTGAGACATGCATATCTCTACTCAGAGGAAGGCATAAGTCTCCTCAGTCTCAGGTGACGTCGATATCGGCCGCAAAGCATCCAGGTGACAAAAAGACTGTGAGAAGCAAGAAGCAGACCAAAACAGGCCAAACTCAAGTACACTTATACATATAGATCTACAATTATTACTATCTAAATTATATATATCAAACCACACATGAAGCAGCACAAGGAACTGCAATTGAAAAAGAACCTTTCGAAGAGCACTCTAGCTCGCTGTTTTTGTCAGCTCAGATTCTGCGATGACCTCCACTGGCTTGCCATCCTGAGTAACGGAAGCCAAACTGTCAAATTGTTGCCTGCTCAGGTTAGAATGATAATATATCATGTGGTGTCCCGACTAACTTTGTGGAGACTCACGAAGCAGCTCCTCAAGTAAAATCCAAGGTCCCTTCTCTAGAAATCGGCCTTAACATCAATTGACAATTATTATCAATGCATTCCAAGCCACCAGCTCACAACCCCCCCGAGAAAAAGCAACAACAAACGGCTCTTTGCTGTTTCCAAAATTTTCCAAAGCAATCTTAAGATGTTCTACCAACATGTGGCTGGAAGTTTCTTTACTTGATCATCTTGATTCCGATGAATCTCTCAACATCACCCCACTCCCCTCATCAACACATCATGGTTCCAAGAGCTCCATGTCTCATGATGTCCATTCCGAGCATCTTCCAGGTCTGTTGTCTCCTTCAGCTGCTGCCAGATCCGCGCCGCGAGGCCCTCCGTGCTGTCGGGTCTCAAGGCCAACACAGCACTCAAGAGAAAGGGCGCTGCCAAGGCAACACGGCTTAGCCTGCATAAGGGGGGCTTGACAGTCAGTTTTCAAGGGCAAAGTAGTTGGCCGATGGGCCGGTTTTTACGTGTTATTTTGTTGAACGCGGAAAGTGCACAAATGTAAGGTCCAAAATCATTACAACAATATAAATTGATGTCAAAAAACATGTTAGTTTAGCAAAATGAAAGGGAAAATGCAACGTGCAATTTGTGGCTGCGTTCTGTTTGCACATGATTTTAGGGTTTGTATTGGTAGATATTGGTAGTATGTTGTTTGCATTGTGCTGGAAATGCGCCCACACATGTTGTGGCGACTCTTTGCGCCTGATCCCCCATTGCATGACGCTTTGCCCCACCAGGCATGTGTACACGACTAAGGGCGCGCTTGGCTAAGCTCAACAACTGTGTAGATCTCGAGTGAAATTTGTCGGATAAAGTATTAAAGCAATGCCAAGAAACCAAGCATTTTGGTAGCTGAAGCTCAAGGCGGCAAAGGCCAAGCACAAGAAGCAGCCGCACTGGAGAACATTGACCTGCAGGCACGACAACAACGACAATACCTGTCAAAACAGGGCATAGAACCCTAGAGGTGAAAGGAATCGTCCGTGACTGAAAACATCTGTATGTGGGATAGGTTTTCCCGCCTGCGGAAGCAAGAAGGGTTGCACCATAGCACTTGCAGCGGCCATGAGCAAGATGATCGTCAACGACATTTCAAGACCATTCTCACTACCGACGACGGAGACCAATGCAACAGCCACCAACTTTTGAATAATTTCCATATAGATGCTTCGGCAGCGTGCATACTTGAACAAGATGTTCTTGGAACCTGCTAAGGCGCGCTCTGATGCTTCCGCTTCTTCCAACAGACACCTGTCCATCATAGCTTCTGCGAGCTCTCGGCATTTGATCGTGCCCTTGGTGTCCAGCTCTGCGCCCATGAAATTCAACACGTCTCCGACTTGCAGCTGCTCATTGCTTCCACCTGAAGTGTGAGCTTCAGTACTTCGTCCACTTGCACCTGAGATCTTCGTTTCGAAGCGTCAGCACGTTTTGTGAAAGGTAACGCTGAAAAAGTTCCTCCTTGGATATCACAGTCTGGAACCTACCCAACCCCGCCTGCGCTGGGTTTTACAATGGCAGCTCCATCTTTGAGTTGGACAAGTGCACGGCCACGGATCAGCACAGCAATGTGAGCAGCTGATGCAGCAACCAAACGCCGTTTGAGAGTTCCTTCCTGGTCCTTCACCAGCATTTTCTCCTTAGTAGGCCAGTGGGCATGCATCGCCTTTGCCAGAATGGGTCAACCTGTCATGGTCAGACCCTTCAGGAACCAGATTGACCCACCAGGCAAGAATCAAACCAGAAAATCAGCAACAACTGGGCAAGCATCCGCTTCCTAGGAAATCAACAAGTCTTGTGATTTTGGCAACTCCTGATTGCTTGAAACGTTTGCGTTATCCACGCGCCATCATCACTGTCACACAGAACATGTGCCCGCATCTGCGCTTGCGCATCACATCACCTCGACAGCAAACCCGACATCAGCATCTCAACGGTCTCAGTCAGCACAGCGCGACAGCCAACATGTCGACACCGTGCCAGCTGATCGGCAGCCGACAGGTCGTCAAATGTCGTCAGCACATCTGCGCGATCGTGCACCGTGCTGGCGCACGTTAGCATCACAACATGTCAGCCAAAGCAGCACGACAGCATGACAGCAAATTTGCCAATGAGTATGACCAAGTGCAAACACCTTCAGCGCGCGCAGGGGCATGGTAGCTTGACGGCATACCAACACGCCAGCATGATGACACGTCAGCAATATATCGAATATATATGCCCTGACAATGTCAGCATGGCAGGATGGCAGCACATCTGCAAAATGGTTGCGCAGCTTGCTCCGGAACCTGCTCCAAAACTCTGGAACACGCTCAGAAACCCCTTCCGGAACCCCGGAAAGAGAACCTGCTCCAGAACCTGCTGCGGAGTCTTTACCATTAAGCTGAACAACCTAAAACTGTGCCCTTGGGTGCAAACACAAAGGCATGTTGTGAAATGTGAATTTCATGGCCTCTGGCATGATGGTGGTGGACTGAAGCTGTGAAAGGGTCTGGAGTGTGACTTGAAGAGGTACTTGCATGCCATGTCATGCATCTGATTACTGGCGATTGTGAATACCGAAGCACGATGTTCAGCTTGCGGTGGGAAAGAGTCCTAAGAAGAAACAGTTTTAAGTCCAAGCACCACCAGGGTTCAAACATGTTCAAACCATCTCAATCCGAAGCCCTCCCGAAATCAACCGGGTGGTTGTGCATTTCGTATAATATGGTATAGTTAATTGACACATGCACATGCTTTGGACAGAAGGATACAGAAGGCCTCGCTTAGCACCAACTCTTACCACAACGCCTGCTAATTTTCCCGCAAACATGCTTCGAAGTGGCCCATGAACAACTGCTCAGCTCGGCCAATCGGATCTCCAAAGCCCCGTCATTGCCATCCTTCACCGAAGGAGCCATCATCATCTTGCCTGGTAAAAGTGCCAAGTGTTGCCTCGCATACAAGTAGGCCAAAGCACACGGAACTAGGACTCCATAGCAGAAGGCACTCACATAGCCCATGGTGTCCACGAGTGACAAGGAGGGATCATGGCAACGCAAGTGAGGCAACCACTTGCGGAACGCAAACCTTGGACATGATGCATTGCACTACTCATGGCACATTGATTCAACACAAATGTCCTGCGCACCTTCTCTACACTTTGCCCGGTGTTTGGCGAAGCCACTTCTGATTCGCTTCGAGGGTCTAGGGGAGCTTTGTCCACACACGCATTACTTGAAAACCTGAAACTTTCCGCCGCACAACACAGCTTGCAAAAAAGTCTTCCGGGGTTCATGCCAGCCACTTCCGTGTTGCATAGACAGGGAGTCCTTTTGATGACCCCTGCGTTAGATGGGGCCCTGGCAGGACCTAGAAAAAAACAATAATTGAAGGACCAACCACCTGCTTTGTGGAAATTAATCGGGCATACCTCTACTCCTCAAGTAATTTTCCTTAATGCTCATAAATGTTGCTTGGTGGCCCCCACTGCCAAGCCCCCCCATTCCAGGGGAGAGGGATCAACAAAAAAAAACAACATTGAACCAAAAAATAAATAAACAATATTATATAATTCAGGGGATCACGAAAAAACATGAATAAGAAAACGGACCCAGACGTGCAGAGGGAAGAGCAATATTCCTTCAACGGGCGAAGGAAAAAAATTTAAAATTAACAAATAAGTATATTTCAGGTGATCGGGACAAAACAAAAATGAATAGAAAACAAACACAAAAACGACAAAATGGAACCCACGAACGAACCCGAATGCAAACACGTACTCGAAAACAAACGCCCAAAGAATTGTTGACACTCTTGTAGGACACTCTTTTGGGGCACTCTTGTCGGACATTCTTGTGGGACACTCTTGGGGAACACTCTTGTCGAAAGGCAGGACACTCTTGTAGGACACTCTTGTGGGGCACTCTTGTCGGACACTCTTGTCGGACATTCTTGTGGGACACTCTTCTCCAAAACGAGCATTTCGTTCGAGACTTCCTCCAAAGTCAAGCGGGAACCCCCATCGGAGCACACACATCAAGCAGCGCCCTGCCAAGCAGTTTCGCGATTCCAGCCCCTCCAAACAGTGCCCGCTCACACGCCACTCCCAATGTCACAGCGACATTCACCTCCACCACAACTCGCAACCTCACGATTCCATCACACCTCGCAACCTCACGATCCCCTGCGCCTGCCACGAAAATCGCACTTCCATACCTCAAAACCCGCACAAAGTACTGCGCCTGCCACGAAAAGTGACAATATCATTGTGAGCTTCAACAAAATTTGCACCACACCACACCTCTGGAATGATTTCGACACGTTCTGAGCACACTCCCGTCCACCAAAACCGTCATTT